TGGGTCTGTCTGCTGCGACGCTGCTGCTCTGACCTGCTTGGCGGATGCTTTCACCTAATTAACGCCGCTTCATGGTGCAGCGTGCAGCGTGCCACTGCCACTGCATTTGGCATTGTGTGGCAATTAAGCTCCATTTGCGACTGCCACACTGCGCTGCACCCCGGAGTGGGGACTCCTCTGGTGTGCCTCGCTGGAGGATCGCCTCGCCGGCTGAGCGTGGATCGGATATTAGCGCTGTGGGCTTTGCACATTGACGAGGTGCGTGTCATCCTGCCCCCCCCCCCCCCGTGGCAGCCAGCAGAGTTCTCCGGCAGTCCATAAAAGCGCAATTTGTCGTAATTGTTTAAGCAGAAAGAAATAACAGCACAAAACGACACAAGGCATAAAACAACTTAATAAAAATTCCACTTCCATGTCGTACATCGTGTCCAATCGAGGCAGCCCAGTGGCAGGGGCAACGCAGAAGTTGAAAAGGAATTCGAATGGCAAACCGAAGAGGAGGAGGACTAGGACTAGGACTAGGATTTGGCACTTGGCACTTGGATTGGGATTACATCCGCACAGTCAGCCAATAAACAAAAGAGCGCAATGTGTCGCTGACACCCGCAAGTGGCACGGGGCAGGGTGCCGAGTGGCATAAATCTCACTTGGCAGTCTCGGAGGGGGCCACAGCCCAAGACCAAATCAACAAAATGTCCAACAAATAGATGAACAAATAACGAGAGCAGCTATGGCCCGTGCCGCCTCCCTCCGTCCATATGCTGCCACCCATTTGCCACACCATAAACACCAATGGAAGTGGCAGCAAGCGGCAGCAACATGAGGCATAAATCACACAGCGGCAGAGTGCAAGGGGGTGAGGTCTGCCTCACAATTGCAATCGAAGAATCGATTAACTTTTGCCCTCAAGAAATATTGATCGATTTTTCGATCGATTTGTTGATCGAACGTCAATTGCTGGCTGCCGTTTAAGGACATTTGCAGGACGCAGCAGGAATCCTAATTAGGGCCAATGCAAATTTAATTGTTGCCTCCAACGAGTGCTGGTGGCAACAACCGCTGAGAAAACCGTTTTTTAAACACAAAAACCAAGCAAAAAACAAACAAAACTCGCGCACAAAAGTTGAGTATAAAACATGTCCCAGCCGTTACATGCCAGCGTTTGCCATCCTCCTGCCACCTGTTCTTTTTTTTTTTTGCCTCGTTGCGCAACGTATCCCCGTCTCTGTCCCTCTTGCAGCTGCTGTCCAGGCGCTCCGTTTCGTGCCGGCTTTTGGTGACCAGTTTGTTTGTTTCCTTGGTCCTTGGACCCCACCGCCGCTGCTTTGTCGTTTTTCCTGCATTTTTATGGCATAAAAATTAAAAATGAATTTTGATTGTTTTCTTGTTTCTGTGCATTTGCTGTTGTTGTTGCTCCATTTTATTTTAATTTTCCCTCTCGTTTTCCACTTGGCTTTGTTTTAGTTTTCATGTCGCGTACTCGACTCCTGGCCAGGAGGAGGGAAGCCTTGCATGGCCAAAGGACATTGCGCATGGCATTGTGTGTGTGGACTGTGGGGGAGGCAGCATAATTTCCATTTAAAGTGCTTTGAACTCACTTTAAGTCCGGCACGAGTCCAGCAAAAGATTTGCCAAGAGCCAGCCACAGATCACAGAAGAGGATGAGCCTGAGGATGGTTGATCCTGCACGGTTGTGGCAGTGGCATGTGGCATGTGGCATGTGTATTTTCCTGCTGCGTGTGCAAATTAAATTTACATTTATTTTTCGTGACTGCAAAATGCGAGACAGGACTGGCAGGGGGGCGTGGCTGGCTGTCTCTGCACGTTTATTCGCACTTAATTCGCACTTTTTGACACCTTTCGACCGTTGCCCCCCCCCCCCATGCACAGCGCCAAAAATGCTGCAACATAAATTAATTACCAATTAGGGGTTGCAGGTTGGGGGTGGCAAAGGAGGAGCTGCTGCTGCAAACCACTAATTAGTGTCATTAAATGCGCTCTTGACTTGGCCAGAGGTTGTCCCCCTACAGGTGCAGGGGCAGGGGTTGCTGCATGAAACATGACACAAAATTGCAGCAGGGAGAAAGAGAGCAAATAAATAAACCATAAACACACACACACACATAAACGAGCGACCGCAGAAATCAACTTAATTTCTAAGTGGAGGCAATGCTGCCTGCTGCCTGCTGCCTGCTGCCTGCCCCATGTGGCACACAGGTAACCAAAGTAACTTCCGTTAACTTGCGTGCAAACGTGTAATTTCCATGCCACATGCCTCATGCCTCATGCCTCATGCCTCGTCGAATCGGGGTTAAAAAGGGTTTAACTTGCGACAAACTTGGGCTCACATGCATATGCATAATAATCACAGAGGGAGAGAGTTGGAGTTGGAGCCAGCATTGGCTCGTCCGGAACGGATCAAATCAAATGGCCCCAAGCCTTCACTTGGAAAACTAAACTGTGAAAACGCCACAAAAGACTGTGTTGGGGCAGGCAGTGACCGGAATACGCTGCTTGCCGCTTGCCGCTTGCCGCTTGCACGTGAAATTTGAATATTGATTGGCTGTAATGAGTGTCGCTGGTTGGTTGCGCCACTGTTGGGTGGCAGCTCCCACTGAAAGCTGAAACTAAACTAATTAGACAACAGTGGGAGTTCAGCGTCCGTCAATCAGTCCATCAATCAAAGCTGCCAGCAGAGAGGGAGAGAGTGAGAGAGGGAGAGGAGAGGCCGGCATATCGCGTCATTGCAGCGCAGCATCGAAAGTTGCATGCAAATTGAAAAGCGGCCAATGTAATGCATAAATTAATTGCGCACTCAAAAACTATGAATCCGCAATGAGTGCAACACACACGGAGAGGAGTGGCTGGAGGAGGGAGGGACAGAGGAGCAGAGGGGCCGCGGCATTTAGCATTCAATTTCATTTCATTCTAAACTAAATAACAATGCAGTCGGCCCCTGCCCCTGTCTGTTGCATGCAACTGGCCAAAAATTGAGTGCACACAGACACAGGACTCCAGTGGCCTGTCCTGTCCTGTCCTGTCCTGTTATTGTTCGAAACGTCGCGTTACATTTACATAAATTGATTTGATTGAATTTTTATGAGTCGCTCGGCTCGTCCGTTGCACAAACCGCCCGCGAAGAGGCACGAGGAGGAACACTGTCCACTGATGGATCCGCATTGGAGGGAGGGCGGAGTTTCGGGCAGGGAAAAACGTCTAATTAAAGTCATTTCCAGCAGCTGCGGAACCCTTTTTTGTGGTGGGTGCTGCAACTCCTCCTCCTCTGGCCACTCTGCCTCGAGGTCACAGTTGGTGCTACATGGCGCAGGGCTTAATGCGAGCCATTTGTCCCATTCCCAGGCTCTGGCCCAACACACACACACACACACACTAGACCGGCCAGAAGCCAGAACCACCAGACAGCACAGCCGCCACACATTGTGTCCGTCGATTGTGGGTGCGGGTTGGAGGTACATGGAAAATGTGCATATTTTAGGGGTTCTCCCAGCCACTGGCAGCCGAGGCAAGAAACTATTTAGTGGCATGGCAATTTGTCATAAATCTCGTTATTTTGAACCGTTTCTGTGTGCGTCTTTGTTTACATTGATTTGTTGCTGCTTTTGGGATGGTTTTTGGGCATCTTATCGAGCAGCAGCAGCAGCAGTCCCTGCACACGGATAAAAGAAGTTGAAAAAAGAGGGGGAAAAAAAAAGAAGAAAATCCCGGATGGAGGGAGGATCTTTCTCTTGCCTCCTGTGAGGTTTGAACTCACGACCCCTGGTTTACGAGACCAGTGCTCTACCACTGAGCTAAAGAGGCGGCTCTAGAGGCGAGCTCACACCACTCCACACATGCCCCTAGGGAGTGCGCGTGCGAGAGAGGGATGGCTAGAGCAAGTGTGGAGCGGGGAAGGGCGGGTAGAAGCGCGCAAAACAGAACTCAAGTTAGAAGTTAACGATCGATCACCTGGCAATGATTGAAACACACAAACATAAATAGAAATATGCGACCGCGTGGTCAATCAGTTTTATTCAATAAATGTGGAGGGGGGCTCCAGCCCGGCTCGTTGGTCTAGTGGTATGATTCTCGCTTCGGGTGCGAGAGGTCCCGGGTTCAACTCCCGGACGAGCCCAAAGTGTGTGTGTCTACAAAATTCTTTTTTGTTTTCTTTTCCGCCCCTAAGAAATGGGAACGGCCAGAAACTGTGCTGCTGGGAAGACTTTAAGTTGCGAATTTCGTGGCGTCGCTCAAAAGTAGGCAACGCACCACTCACTAGCGCCACCTGCACGGCAAACGATTGTTGAAACGTAGCAATCCATTCCCACTCACTTAACGTTTAATGCTATTTTTGTTTATAGATTAATTCGTAATAATTCCATAAAACTAACCAATGTTGTAGAAAACTGATTGATACATCGGATAGAATTATAGTTTTAGCGCGGAGACTGCGAACTATCTGATAATATCAAATAGAACATCAAAATCGAGGAAATTGGCTTAAGATTTATGGTTTTTTTTACGGTATATTTCGGTATATTTTCGAGGCTCTGACGGTATACTTCATCGATCATTTCGCGGTCACACTGGCATTGAAGTTCCGTTATACAAAAAAAAAAAAATAGACACCGGCGTGTGCTGCAATTTCAATGAGAATTAAGAAAAATACGAAAATGAATCTGCCAAGCTCAACGCCCAAGCGGGGCGCTGCGCGTTACATTACCATGCAGAATATCGATGAGTTCTTTGTGCCACGCCACGGCAGGCATCCAAGTCCGGCACGCAGCAGCCGGCGTTTGCCATTGCCGCTGCAATATTTGTTCGATGAGCCGCCCCCCCTGGCATTGGCACGCTCCCCGGCGCCCTCGGTGTCCCGAATGGCGCTCATGGAGAGTTATTGGACGCAGATGGCGACAGAGAATCATGTTTTCGGTGTTGATGTACTTAAAATATGAAATGTTTGCTTCAATTTCTGAATGATGCACTCTCTTTTGTTTTGGCAGATGATGACTATGGATATTACCAAAACAGACCCCGGACTCGTCGGGCTCTCATCGAATCAACAGCAGCAATCCGGACAGCAGCAGCAGCAGCAGCAGCAGGCCGCCAGCATGAACAGCAACAACAGCAGTGGCAACAATGTGGGCCAACAGAATGCCAGCAACAACAGCAACAACAACACAAACAACGGCTGCAACGGCGGCGGCAACAATGGCAACAACAACAACAACAACAACAACAACAGCAACAACAACAACAACAGCAATGTCCAAAGCATTGCGGCGGCAGCCAATAACAATAACAACAACAACAACGGGAGCCAACTATGCGCCGGTTGTGGCAAGCACATACAGGACCGTTACCTACTGCGCGCCCTCGACATGCTGTGGCACGAGGATTGCCTCAAGTGCGGCTGCTGCGACTGCCGATTGGGCGAGGTGGGCTCCACCCTCTACACGAAGGGCAATCTAATGCTCTGCAAGCGTGATTATTTAAGGTAAATGCTGTGGCAAGCGTGGCAAGCACCCAAAACTCCACTTACAACGTCTCTTTTTGCAGATTATTTGGCAACACGGGCTACTGTGCCGCCTGCAACAAGGTCATACCCGCCTTCGAGATGGTTATGCGCGCCCGCACCAATGTCTACCATTTGGAATGCTTTGCCTGTCAGCAGTGCAATCATCGGTGAGTCAGTCGATCCACCCCCATCCCTGCGCAGGTCCCTTCCTTATTTTTAATCTTGCCACTTGACGTCTTGGCCATTATGCATGCAACAATGCCCAGCAAATTGCCATCGTTTACAAGCAGCAGCTGCCGTGGGCGGGGGCTGGGGCGGCGACCCTTTAGTGTCGTTGATTTTCTATGAAAACCGCATAAATTTTGCCCTAAAACCCATTCCGTGTGGGGTGTGTGTGCGGGTTGGTGTGCTAAACCCTTTTGGGTGCCATTCAGGGCCATTCCCATGCATATTTCGCTTTGGATATTTTATTGGTTTTGGCCAATTCGTGAAATGTCACTCTGGAGAGAGCTTTAAGGCTGTGGGCTGGCTGGCAGCGTCTCGATTCTGTTCCTTTTGGTCAATATTTTTCGCTCTTTTTGTTTGCGGGTCTTTCCACGGGCATCTTTTGCATTAATAATGAGGGTGCACATATGCTCCGTGATTGTGCAACAGCCAATGGTGGTGGTGTGTGGGTGGGGCAGCATTAAATATTAAAAATGCCGCCACACGGCATCGGCATCGGCATCGGCATCGGCATCGCTGGTCGGCACCAACAAAAATATTGAAATAAATGTTAAAACATATTGGCATATTGTGAGAATCGTCTCCAGCCCAGCCCCCTTTCGTGTCGCTTTTGTTTTCGCATTGTCGAAAATTGACTTTAAAAATGTAACAGGAGTCGCCGTGGCTCGTGCAACGAACCCTGCCTCCTGCTACGTGCCACATGCGTCTCGTGGATTGATCTGGAACCGTACAGATCCTGCAGCCCGCTGTCCGCTATCCGCTGTCCGCTGGCTAATCAATTTTTCACGTAAATTAATTCAATTGCCGAAAAAATCCATTGAGGCGTGTCCACGCAATGGCCAGCGGGCGACTTGCAACCAGCGGACTCGGAACTCTGATTGTGATGCTGACTCTCTGTGTGGCCACTGCCAGTGCTGCTTCTGTTGCTGCCACATTTAAAATGCGGGCAACACACACACAACAAAAAGAGAGAGTTTCATTTTTTTGTTTGTTGGCCGCAGAGCTGGATTCGTCCGTTTGTTTCCTGTTCCTGTTGCTGTTGCTGTTTGGCTGTTTGGCTGTTTGGTTGCAGGATGCACTGCCGCAGTGAGGTGAGGTTTGCATAATTTCCTGTCGTCAGCATTCGACGATTTGCCCGGCGCCCCCCGCCTCCCGAGGGGCCAAGTCAAATCTTTCGTCATATTTTTTGTTGCTTGCCTTTTCTTTCTCTACTTCCTGTTGACAATTTGCTGTCTCCTTTTGGTCCTGCGACTGCCCGGATGTGCGAGCACACACAGACTCCAGGACTCCAGGACTCACTTATCAACTCGTCCTCGTTCATGTCGCCATTTCCCGTACTCCTCTGCCTCTGTGGCCATGTCACAGGTGCGCCGCCAGCCAGCCAGCCAGCCAGCCGGCAAGAAAATAAGACCAAAACTTTCCACTTTGTTGACTCGTTTTCGTAGATTATTTTTTGTGTATATTTTTGGTAGATAAACAAAGCATTTGTTTTTTTTTTGTTTTGGAGCACACACACACATGGGGACCACGCCCACAGCCCACAGCCCACAGCCCACTCCCGCTGGCCATCAATCGATTTGGGTGCCGGAGCTTCGGAGCGACCAGCAGCAGGCAGACCAAAAAAACGTTGACGTAAATCAAAAGCCAAATTTCATATCCGCTGTAAGTCCTGCTGTAAGCTGATTTCACTCCACCCACCCGGGCGGCTGCAGGAGTCAGTGTCAGTTACCCAATCCCCTGGCACCCCGTGTACTTGTCAAACTTAAAACGTTTTTCATGCGGCCAGGAAGGGTATTCCGTGTGCTCTGATGCAGATGCCGAATCAAGGAGATCGCTCTGAGAGGGCAGAGCTGATTGGATCGAGTCACAGAAGTAGCTTCATCAAGGTCAAGCTCCTGCCGCGGCGTCGCTCCTTCAGGGCATCCTTTCGCCTGCTGTTTCGCCCTGGCCTGTTGGCGCCACCTAGCGACGTTTTTTGTTTCTCTCTCTTGCGCTGTTTGCGTGGGCGTGTTCGGTGCAGGTCCAGGTCCAGGTCCAGGTGCTAACATAAATATTTTGACAAAGGGCTTCAGGGAGCTGGGGGCGGTGGCTGCCCCGCTCGTAGCAACTTCATTTGCAGTTGCCTGAATGCACTCCGGAGACTGAGAGCCCACACCCACACCCACACCCACACCCACACCCACTCCACCAACTGTTGCTGACAGCGGAGCGACATTTTCAAATGCTTATCTGACTTCCTTCGTGCTTCGTGCTACTGCTACTGGTCATAGTCCTGCCTGCCTTGCTGTTGGTTGTCTCTGCTTTCTCCCTCTCTCTTCTTGCTTGCTGCTTCTTCTTTTGTTTCCAGTGCTGCACAACACACACAGACACACCCAGAGAGAGAGAGAGAGAGGAGTTACCTTTCAGCCGACGCTCAACCGCTGTCAATTGTCATCTTTGTCTCCGGCTTCACTGGCTCCCTGGCTCCCTGGCTCTTGCTTTGACTCCTTTTTTGTTTTGCTGCTGTTCCTTCTGGTTTCTTCTTGCTTAAGCGTGTGGAAAAATCGTTTCCACTTCCTGCTGCCTACTGCCCCCTTTGCCTCTCCCTTTGTTGCATCTTTTGCTCTAACCGCCTCTCCCCGCCTCTCTTTTCGCTCTCATTCCAGGTTCTGCGTGGGCGATCGCTTCTATTTGTGCGAGAACAAAATACTCTGCGAGTATGACTATGAGGAGCGGCTGGTCTTCGCCTCGATGGCCAATCATCCGATGCTGAAGCGTCACGTCTCCTCGCTGGGCCAGGGCTCGCCCACTGGCGCTGCTGGTGCACCGGGCGCCACCGGTGGACTGCTCGGCGGTGGACCTGGTGGCGTGGCCAATGGCGGTGTGGGCGTTGGCGTGGGCGTGGGCATGGTCAATGGTCCGCGCACACCGGGCGATCACAACAACAACAATGGACCACAGACGCCCACCGGCGGCGGTTCACCATTTGCGGCCGCTGCAGCTGCCGCCGCCGCCGCTGCACACATGAAGAATCAGCTGGGGGCGTCCAGCTAAAATAAAGCCCTGGGCATGGGCGGAGTTGGACCAGGTGTCGTCGGAGTGGGAGGAGCGGGTGTGCCCGGAATGGGTGTTGCTGCTGCTGCTGCTGTTGCTGGCCAGCAGCAGTTCTACGGAGCCACGGGCTTTGGCTTGCATCAACAACAACAGCAGCATCAGCAGCAGCATCAGCAGCAGCAACTCCAGCAGCAGCAGCAGCAGCAGCAGCTAATGGGCCTGGGCCTAGGAGGAGGAGTGGCATCTGGATCCATTGGAGGTGCAGCAGGAGGAGGCGCAGCAGGCGGAGGCGTTGGCAGCATGGGAAGCAGCTGCAAGCGCTACCAAAGAAAGTTTTACAATCGCAACTGAAACGAGAGAGAGAGAGAGAGAGAGAGAGTAAACAGAAGATAAGAGAGAGAGAAGAGGATGCCACAGGATGAGGGCATAATGGAGTGACGAACGAATGGAATGGAGTCCGACACTCCAGTCTTCGTTTTGCTTTTTTTGACTGAGTTCAAGTTTAGTTAGTGTTCTAGTTTTAGTGTTTTTTTTTTTCACTCGATTAAGTTGTGCCACACACACACACACACACACATACACACATACAACAAACACTTGCTGAATGGCTTGCAAATTAAGTTTTACCCACAAACTGAACATGGGGTTTCGTTATCTAAGGATTGTACATAATTTACTTGCTAAAACTGTTGAACACTAGAAATATGTTGTATTTTTTTTAGCATTTTATTTTTTTTTGTTTTTTTAATTGTGTGTCCGCGTGTGTACCACTGCGTTTGGGTATATTTTTATTCATAATTCATATTCATAATTCATAATTGATAGAGTATGTGTAATAATTATGTTAGTTTTACACGCTCGAAGCGTGCGGTGCCAAAATAAATTCAAAGCAGTGCCAAAAAAAGTCAAGCGAAGAGCGCATACGAAAAGGAAGAGAGAGAGGAATGGCAGGCAGGCAGGCAGGCAGGCAGGTTCTATGCCCCCACCGATTGCACACAGCAAATTCCCGAAATTTCCAGAGGCAGGGGCAGAGGCTTGGCAACAAAAACGTTTTGACTTTTGATAATGTGTAAATATTGAACAAACATACGAGCGGAGAACTTAACTAAATACATACATTAATACATGCATCTACATATACATACAGAT